GCAAACCTTTCTTAATTTTAACCCATGCTGCGTTCCCTTGTTCTATTCAGGTATAACTTTGTTTTTGCCTAGGGATAGGTTTTGTATGAGCATGATTATTAAATATTCTGAGATTCTCATTCTTCTCAATGTAACCATAATTTGTTATGATCCACAGAGTCAAATGTCTTTGCATAATCAATAAAACACAAATAGACATTCCTCTGCTATACTCTCTATACTTTCTGCCAAGACCCATGTGACATCATCAATGAAATTTTTGATGTCTCAGTCTCTTCTAAATCCAGTCTGAACTTCTGGCAATTCTTTGTCAATGTATAGTTCTAGACATTATTTTATGAGCTTAAGTAATATTCGGATTACATGTGATATTAATGATACTGATTATTTCCACATGCTGTTGGACCGCTTTTCTTGGGAATAGCACAATCATTAAACTCTTCCAGTCAGTTGGCAAGGTATTGGTCTTCCAAATTTCCTGACACAGATTAGTGAACATATTCAGGGCTGCACCTAGTAAATGAAACCTGTGAATTGGTATTCTATTGTTTTATTTATTTATTTATTTATTACAGAGGTTTTGGATTTCCATTCATTCATTGCCGCAATTTTCTCCCTGCCCATCCCTCCCCACCAGCTCGCTTCCCCCTCCGAAGAGCGAAAAAAAAAATTCCTTCATTAGTATACAATTCCCACGTCCCTTCCCCCCAACCCCCACCCAGAGTACACTTCTCTATGCAACCTTAATTCTGGATTCCTTTGCCAACCATAATACTCAATCATATATCACTTCTAATCTGTTCTTTCCCTCATCTGTTTCAATACAATATACATAATTTATCCAGTTTTTTCTGTCATACCCCCACCCTGATAATGGGCCATCAAGTCACCTGCGACTCATGGTGACCCTATGTACAACAGCCCTAAACCCTGCTCTATCCTGTTCCACTCTTATTGTCTCTGATATACCTACCCACATTACCCCAGCCACTGAATCAATCCATCTCATTGAGGGTCTTTCTCTCTTGCACTTTCCCTCCACCCTCCCAAGCATGACGTCCCTCTCCAAGGACCGTTCCCTCCTGTAACATCCCCAAAGTATATCATATACAGGTATATATTCCAATATATAATTTCAATACACCACTTTGAATGTAGATATAACAACTCTTGTGGCTTAGTGGCAAGAAGCTGCACTGCAGTCATGAAGGCACTTGGTTTGAGGCCACCCGCTGCTCCACAAGACAAGGATGGACAATCTCCTCTCATGCAATTTAACTGCCTCTGAAAACCTGCTGGAGGGTCAGCTATGGATCAGTTCCAACTCTACGGGACCCAACAACAAACCTGTGGTCATGGCTATAATAATCCCTTTCATCGGCCCATATGTTTGTTTTTCCTGTCTGCCACTTACAGATTAATGTTCATTATTTATGATAGAGTAGTTGTACATGTGATAGTGTTTACTTTTACTAACTGCAATTCTTGTGCACTTCTCTTGTATCTGAAGCTTCCTTTTCTTTAGTACTACTATGATCATCCCTTTACTGCCTTTTATTCATCTTAATATACGTCTCTTATCAATTGGGAAGTTAAGTGGTCTAGTGGGTAAGGTGTACTGCCAACCACTTAAGACTATCATTTGGACTAACAGACATGGCAATTGAAACTGAGATCTTAGAAATGGAAACATGGAGAAAGAGGAACAGCTGTAAGGAGACACTAGTGATTGGAATGTGGAATGTGAGAAGCATGAATGTAGGAAAATTGGACATTGTTAAGAAAGAAATGGAACGCATAAATATTGACATACTAGGCATTGGCAAAATGAGATGGTTTAGCATGGGACATTTTGAAACAGATGATTGTATGATTTACTATGACAGGGGTGAAAAGGTGAGAAAAAAATGGGGTTGGTTTCATATTAAAAAAGTCATTTCCAGATCTATCCTGAAATACAATGTGGTGAGCGACAGGAGAATATCCATACACAAACAAGGAAGTCCAGTGAATAGCACTATCATTCCAAAGAGGAGGAAATAAATTTCTACCAACTTTTGCAGTCAGAAATTGATCAAACATGCACTCAAGATGCATTAATAATAATGGGAGACTGGAACACAAAAGTTGGCAACAAGGAAGTAGGATCAGTAACTGGAAAACATGGGCTTGGTGAGAGAAATGAGGCTGGAGATAGAATGATAGGGTTTTCCATATTCAATGATTTATTTGTTGCAAATACCTTTTATAAGAAACATAAATGCAGGCTATACACATGGATCTCACTTGATGATATGCATAGGAACCAAATAGATTGAATTTGTGGAAAGACTTGCTGGAGAAGCTCAATATCAGCAGTGAAAACTAAGTTGGGTGCTGATTGTGGGACAGACCACCAACTACTCATATGGAAGTTCAAGCTGAAGTTGAGGAAAATTAAATCAAGTCCACAGGAACCAAGATTTGACCTTAAGTCTGTCCCACTCAAATTTCAAAACCATCTCAGGAACAGGTTTGAGGCCTTGAGCACAAATAAGCGTAGACAAAATGAGCTCTGGGAGGATATCAAGAAAAAACCCAAAGACAGGCAGTTAAAATCCACCAGTTGCTCCATGGGAGGGGAATGGGCAATGTCCTCTGTTGTGATTTACAGCTTCTTAAAACTCGATGAAGGGTCTTCTATGAGTCATTTCTGATTTAATGACAATGAGTGGAGTTTGAGTTATCTGTTTAGTGAGTTCTTGTGGCAATATAACCCAAAGATCTCACTTATCTGGCTGTCTGAATCCACTAGATGCTCTGAGGAAGAGAGATGAGTTATCTCTTTCCCTCTAGTGGAGGGTCAGCTATGAATCAGTTCCTGCTCCACGGCAATAAGAGATAATCTACAGATTTTCCTTCTTCTCTCATATCTGGTAACTATCAGAGTGTTGTGTTTTTTTTTCCCATGGTTTAGAATTTTTTTATTTATTTATTTTATTATTTTTGTGTGAGTGTACCGTCAAATCAGATCTGACTGGTACAGGAGAAGATTGTCTCTCTGTCCCCGGCAGAGCATCTGGTGGATTCGAACCGTGCGCCTCTGGGAGTGTAGTTGCAGCTCTTTACCACTAGGCCACCAGAGCTCCCCTCAGAAATTTTTCTTTATTGCTGTGGTTAGGTACCGAGCCAGCAAGTTTTGTATTAGCTTTTTACTATAGTGACATATACCATCTTTAGACCCTTTTAAAATAAGTTTCTTTAAAGTCTTAATGTTATTTATCTGCACTTTCTTGTCTACACTTAATAAAAAGTCTGTAGAGAAGATGGTGTTCCATTTAAACAAGCACACGTATTTTGTTTTATGACATTATAATCTCCACACTGTATATCATCTTTTACTGCTTTGGTTCTTATTTCCATTCATCCCTCCATTTTCTTTCTGCTTTCTGAATTTTATCCTCAGACAATTCATAGCCACCATTGTGATACTGTGTGGGATGGTTCTAAGGGATGAGTACCTTCCTAGTTCACCTTAGAGATCTGTCAGTTGTTTAGTCGCAACTTGTGCCACTAAGGGGGAATGTAGTTCCAGGCTCAAAGGGAGGGTAAGGGCCCTGGTCTCCCAACTTCTCCTAGTTTCTATCAGCCTGTTATTATTATGGTGGTGGTGGTGTTATGGGCCGTGGAGTCACCTGCGACTCATAGTGACCCTATGTACAAAGCCCTTAACCCTGCTCTATCCCTTGGCAATCTTACTGTCTCAGACACGCCCATTATCATTACCCCAGTGTCCATTACCGTGATTCTGAGTGTTGTTCCACATTTATGTTTCACTTTTACCCTTTCAGAGGAGTTGTCTTTTTTTTTTTTAATCTTCAATCTGGTTGAAAATTCGATGAAAGCTATGCTCCCTCACCACATAAAAATGCATATGCTGCATATGGCTAATTTAAATTAAACCCATTCAGAGCTGATTCAGAACGCCTATTTTAGAAGGTAAGGGAGATCTAAAACGTCCCTTCGCCCAGACTCCAGTTGCGGATATGCTTATGTTGGTGTGTAACTTTAAGGCTGTTTCCTGGATGGCTTCAGTGTTATTATCTGTGAAATAGGGGTTTGGTATCTATGTCTAAACTCTTTCTTAGCATGGCAGGTCGGCATTAGCCCTAGTTAGCAAGTTGTGAGAAATAGGGCCTGGTAAGGGAAGACCAAGCCAGGTCAGTCAGGCTGCAGAGGGCTCAGTAGGAGGAAAGAGAAAAAAATCCCCTAGGATTCACGTTCTTTGTGGATTTTTAAAAGTCATTTTCTTTTTCTTAATTGAAATTCCAATGAAAGGTTACAGAGACTTTGGACTTCAATTCATAGTCATGTTCTTTTTCTGGGCTTCAGTTTCCTCACCCGCACACTGCGGAGGTTTTGCTCCTGGGAGCGACGTGGGGGGAATCATGAGAAAGACGATGGAGAAGACTGCAAGGAGTAAAGGAAAATTTGAGGAATGTGACGACGGAGGGATGAGAGTTCAAGGGTGCGGCGCGGCACGGGGTCCACACTGTAGGATTCACCGATCCCACCCTTGCAAAGCTGGAGTCATACCTACTTCTGCCCGGCCCCGCCTCCGCCTTGTCGCCCCTCAGTCTGGTTGCCACGCCACACTTCACATGGCCGCCACGGCGCGACGCTTCCCTCTGCGCGACGGCCGCGGGGCGCGCCGCCAGCCCACGTTTGCTTCTGCCCGCCCTTCTTCTCTTCCAATTGGCTCATCACATGAGAGACGCAAGCGCTCCGCTTCCCACCCCCCTATTTCTCTCTGGCTCCGCCCTGCCTCTTCCTACCTTTTCCTGAAGCGAGTGGAAATCTAACCTGCCCTTATCTCGGCTGTGCGGGAGGAAGCAGGGAGAGCTGGCTAAACCAGGAAGGCGCTGGCTGTGGCGCGCACGCGCACGCACGCACGCACGCCAGCGACCGGCGGGTGGCAGGCTCGCGCCCGAGCTCGTCCCGCGCCGCGCTAGAGCTCGCGCACTCAGCAGGTTGGGCTGCGGTGGCGGCGGCAGCTGGGAAGCTGAGGCGCTGCGTTTGAGAGGAGGTCCCCGACGCGCCTGCGGCTCCTGCTCTGCCACCTTCCGCCTCTCTCACCAGAGTTTCCGTGCCGGGTGTTTGCAGAAGGCAAGGGCGCTCGCCTTGGGAATCCCGAGCACCCCCGTGGCTGCTTCCGACACCGCCCTCTTTCCTCTGCCAGCCGCGGGCCTCGCTAGGTGGCCAGGCAACTCTGCGGGGAGGGGGCGGCGACGGCTGCCGTGTCTGTGGAGACTTCCTACTCTCCAGCCTTGCTCCTCCGCCGGGCCCTGCAGGGGCCGAGAGAGCTCGGCTCCTGTCCTTCCTCTCGCCTTTTTTTTTTCCCTCCTGCCCGTTGGAGCAGCGTCGGTCCGGGCGGTCTCTGGACTGAGGAGGCGGCAGCTCCTCCGGCTCCATCATGTCCGCGAGCGGAGACTTCGGGAATCCGCTGAGGAAATTCAAGCTGGTGTTCCTGGGGGAGCAGAGCGGTGAGTGTGCGGCTCCCCCACTCCTGGCAGCTGGCCGCGGCTCCGCCGCACCGCCCCCAGTGCGGCCCTTCCGTCCACGGAGGCTCCCCGCCGGCCTCGCGTTTGCGCCCGGTCTCCGCTCCAGACCTTCCCCGCGCTCGCCCACCGGCTTTGCCCCTGGGTTCTTGTCTGGATACATTGCTCGATTTTATTATTATTTTTAATCCTTTATCCCTGGGCTCTCCCCTCCCCTCCTCGGCGTCTCTGCTTCCCGCAGCTCGGCCCTCTGTCTGGATCTGCCTTTCCTCACCCCGCCCTGCCCGTGCCTCTTGTCCATTCCTTTCTTCCTGTGGTCTCCCATGCCTCCCCGAGCCCAGGCCCCTTAGCCGAGCCCCACCCTGATTCCATGCTCTTTGCCCTGTTCTTCAGCTCTGTGAGGCCCACCCCAGGAAGCCCCACTTCGGGGAGCAGGCCCTCTTCAACCTTGGGCAAGGAGCGTGGGATCTGGGCGTTGTTTTCCCCAGAGACTTGGCCCTGGGAAGTACGGATGCTGTCGAAGGTGGTTGTAAAAAATGCTTGGGTATTTATTTTCTCTCTTCACTTTGGTGGAGAATTAGCCTGGGTTATGTTAGGAAGATACCGACTGGGAGGCTGCTTTGAAGGTGGGGTGTTGGGGTGAATGGGGGGGGTGGGGTCCGATTTTTTTTTTCTCTTAGGTTGGGCTGTGGCTTGTTGGCAGCCCTCATTTTCTTCTCTCACTTTCATCACTGACAGTTCTTTTGGCATTGTTGGCGATTTTCACATCTCTGCCAGATGCTATGTCATGATCATTTTTACTTGGAATTTTTCACATCTCACCTCTTTCTCATTTCAACACGAAACGTTGACTGATTATCTTCATGGTGGTGCAAATAGGAATTACTGGGGGGAAATGTTAATTATTATTTCTTTTTTAGTATTTTCCAGCGGTATTTTTAGAATTTCGGTGAGAAGATCCTGTAGAAAATGTACATCTTTGTTTTGTGGGATTTTTCTATGAGGTTATGTAGGAATACAGTAGAGTTGTAATAAATTTGTCATCCAATTATCTAAATTAGTTTTAACATGTTAAATACATTTTGACTAAATGGCTAGTAGGCTTAACATTGCATACTGTCTGATGAGTGAAACTGTAATGTCATTTACATGGTCTCTTGTTGCTGTACTTTGTATTACATACAAGATCCTAATTTAGTGGCGGTTGTCTCCAAGATTACTGCTAGGTAGTCTCGTTTTATACTATAGTATACAAATTTTATATTTGCCAATTTAGAAATTATCAGCTCCCCTTTGTCTTCCTCACACTTTTCATGGCATTCTTTAAAATTCTGATATTGAGATACTAATTTCTTCCAAATCGTGAAACATGAGGTACCTACTAGATATTTTAGGTGAGCTTAGGGAAAGCATTAGTTATTTTGATTAGAAGGCAGACAGTGATACAAATTTAGGATCTTTTTTTGAGCTATTTATATGCTGATTTGTATGACTTTAAAGTAGATTGATACTAGTTGCAAAATTATCCTGAGGTTTTTTTCTGCTTTCATATGTGGATGATATTTTACCAAAGAAAAATATTGCATCTTTTTCAAGAAGCAAGTTGAAACTTGTTTCTGTAGGTGAGTAATTTTGATAGAATTACTCACTCTAGAGTTGATCCTGGTCCAGCCATTTTATGTCAATTTCAGGACAGACCACAGGTAAAAAGATGGTCTATAACTCATTATTGGTAAATAGGATCTAGAGTGCTTATTGTGCACTCTGGGGATGATATTGTCTGACTTTATGTTGTGATGTAGAGCTATTTAGTTTGTGTGAAAAACCCATTAATCTCTTATCCTAGAAGATTTTAGCAAGAGTAGAGCTCTTAAGTATCTCAGGTTTCCTCTGAGTTTCTGGAAAATTTATGTTTCAATAAATAGTGCAGTGTTTTATTCTTACTTTCTTTAAGCCTTCAATCACTTTTTCTTAGGAAGTTCTAATACCAACTTAACGAGTGTGTATAATGAACTGTTTTTAGAACAGTCTCTGATTGGCAAAAAAATTGAGAAGACAGTGCAGAGGATTTCCATAGACTGCACCCAGCTTTTCTGTTATTGTTAGCAACTTATATTAGCGTGGTTCATTAATTACAATTATTGAGCCTATATTGACATTTTTATTTTATTTTATTATTTTTGTGTGAGTGTACCGTCAAATCAGATCTGACTGGTACAGGAGGAGATTGTCCCTCCTTCCCCGGCAGAGCATCTGGTGGATTTGAACCGTGCGCCTCTGGGATTGTAGTTGCAGCTCCTTACCACTAGGCCACCAGAGCTCCCCCTATATTGACATTTTTAACTAAAATCCTTAGTTTATTTAGATTAATTTTTACCTAATGTCTCTCTTTCTGTTCCAGGAGTCTATCCAAGTTACTATATAATATTTAACTGTTTAAGATTTTGTTTACATATCTTTTATACTGTGGATTTGTGGTTAATTATCTTTTGAGGCTACTATGTAGTTAAGTAATACCAATTTTGTAGCTTTCACAGTGAAAGACTGGTATCTGTTTTCATGGATAGTGTCTGTAGTTTTATTATACATTAGCAAAGATCTGTAGAGTTTATGCCATCTTGATGTAACTCTTGATGAATTATTTTAGATCTGTTAAAATTCCACAATTCATCTTTCAAAGACTATAATCAATGACAAAGCCTTGTTTCATTAGTAGCATTTACCACATTTGTAAGTATCATATTTAGTTATTATTTATTTTCCATAATAGAATGAAAATTTTATAATGATAAAAATTATCTTTCTTTTGTATCCTTCGTTTGTAGCATGTGGCTGGGTTGGAAGTAGGTGATTAGAAATACTTGTTGAAAGAATGATGATTGAATTTTATAGTAATCCAGTCTAATATACTAGTAATTTTTATTACTCTTTGCTATTGGCGAGGGAGAGGGGTTTGTCTGCACTTTTGTACTTATGTGGTTATTAGTTTTTTATATCTTTATGTTCTTTTGTTTGTATGCAGTTATACTCCAGATACTGGAGGTGGTAGGGGCTGTAATGGCATCTGATTGAATCATTTACGTGTCTGACAATTTTGCTTAATAAAAAAACCCAAACAAGATTGGCCTTGATTTTGTAGTTTTTTGTTGTTGAGTTGTTGCCTTATTGAAAATTATTTACCATTGTTGTTGAGGACCATGGAGTTGGACCAACCTATAGCTTACCGTCCAGCGGTTTTTCAGAGTTAATTAATAGCATGGGAGAAGATTGCCCATCCTTCTCCTCCAGAGCAGCTGATGGCCACAAACGGTGTGCCTTCAGGATTGCAGTGCAGCTTCTTGAAACTAGGCCACTAGAGTTCCCTTAGTACATCACCTGAGAGGGAGTTCTGGTGGAGTAGCCTGTAGCAAATTTCATTGATAAGCCCATAGGTGGCAACTCTCTCTGGTGGTCTGAATCTGCCAGCGATTCGTCAAGAGAAATATGAGCAGTCTCCATCTATGCCTCTGAAAACCCAATCTGAGGGGTTTGTTATAGAGGGTCTGTTGTAAGAGACTTCTGACTCCACTGCAAATGAGACTGAATGGATATAATAGAAATATCAAATGTAAAGTTGTAAAATGTTACTTAAAGACATGTTCCTGGAAATTATTTAACATTACACCATATTTATTTAACCCATAAAAAAAAAGAAAGGTACTATATACTTGTGACATGTGGTTCAAAACCATCAGATGCTTTTTGGGGGAAGGATGGACATCCTCCTCCTGTGTGATTTACTGCCTCTGAAAACCCCTTGGAGGGTCAGCTGTGAGTTGAGACTTGACTTGATGGCACACAGTGACATACTTTATAATAGAGAGCTCTGACGGCATAGTGGGTAATGAGTTGTGCTGCTCACTCAAAAGAAGGCAGTTCAAATCCCAGCTGCTCAGAGGGAGAAAGATGGGCCATCTCCTCGTGAGATTTACAGCATCTGAAAATCTTCGGGAGGATCAGCTATGAGTTAGTTCTGACTCCTTGGCAGCTGCAACGACATGCTTTATAAAAAAGATAGATTGTATTAATGACATAACACTTTGTTAATTTTTTATAGGATCTTGGGTTTTTTTTAATATTTTAGTAATACAAATGGTTTTAAAAGGAATGTTGCTATAACACCATTTGAATTTGACACTTATTTGCAGTGTCTTTGTTACTGTCTGTGATTAATTTTGTCTTGAAATACAGAGGTAATTTTGGGGATTCCATTCATATTTTGCAGTGGAAGATTTTATTACATATAAATATCATGAATTGCAAATTAGGAAATGTAATAGGGAGAAACCATACAACTTCTTACCTTTTTACTTTATATTGCTTTTTACTTTTATATTTATATTTATATTATTATTTTATTTTTTTAATTGAAACACGCTGGGTAGGGGGAACATGTCTTCCTATCTCTCGTAGACTCAGTGTTACTGAACAGGTTATCTTGGCTACATCAGCCATTCTTAAACTTCTTCTTCTTGGGACTCCTTTACTATTCTCTTACAAATGATTGAGTACCCTCAAGAGCTCTGTGTATGGTGTTTATTTAGACCGATCAATATTTACCGTGTAAGAAATACACTGAAAACATTTAGAAATATTTAATTAATTGAAATATAGCACTAATAAACTTATTACATAATAATTTTCTATGAAAAAGAAAAAGAACTCTTTTCCAAACAAATTTAGTTGAGACATTGCTTTCTGTATTTGCAGTTTTCAGTGTTTAAAAAACAGCTGGACTCTAGGGAGCTCTGATGGCCTAGTGGCAAGAAGTTGCACTGCAATCCCAGAGGTGTGCAGTTTGAATCCACCAGATGCTCTGCTGGAGAAGGAGGGGCAATCTCCTCCTGTACCAGTCAGATCTGATTTGATGGTACATGCACAAAAATTAATAAAAAAATTAAAAAAAAATAATAATAAACCCAGCTGGATTCTGATAGCTCCTTCTA